GCGAAGTGCTGTGAGAGCAGTTGATGGATGACATGTTTTTTGGCTTGAAGTGACTTTTATTTTCTTTATGCTTTAATGTTTTCTAAGTTTTCTGCAACAAACATTTATTTACCACCGAAAATTGACTTGAGAGAACTTGAGAGTTAAGCTGCCTCAAAACTTTAAAATAAAAAACTCCTAAAATAATATGCTGTCTTTTCTTCTACGATCTACCAAGATGATTCCTGAGGAATGTATAAGTAGGTTACTACGTAAGAACCTATTTCTGAATCAGGACTAATTGTGACGAACCTCTTGTGTTGTCTGTTTTATTATGAAGTCTTTGTTTCTTGTTTAGCAATAACTCAAACAGGCTCTGCAAGATGCTCAGAAATGGTTTCATGGGTGTAGCTACTGACTAAACAGGTAGGCAGAGAAAACAATTAGCTGGCCCCGCTGGTTCTCAGAAGCGGCCCTGAATATTGTAAGAAGCCTTCATTAGGAGAGGTGCACCTCACAGCTAGTCACCCAGCTGTGGCATCAAACCAGCTCATTTCTCTACTTTCAGGATTTAATCAGTCTCAGTGCTGCAGTAATCAGTGATAAACCATCACCATCCTAATGCGATCATCTTGTAAGATTCCTCATCCAATATTGGCATGCCTTGGGCTGCAACCCTCATTACTATCGCCCAGGCTTCCTCTCACACTTTCAACGATGAAAAACTCACTCCCTACCCCAGGCGTCTGCGTTTTTGTTGAAGAGCGCAGTTATGAAGTTGTTTGTTACGTTGAACAGCAAAATATTTCCTAGCTAGAGAAAGGTCTATTCTCATTCTATCCCCCGGGATGACAGAGACCCACTCAGCTCCCCCTTTCCTCCTGTTGTTCTTTCAAATACTTGGAAGCAACCATGATATTTTGCCCAGATATTCTTGTTTTCATCACAGATGTTTATAGCTTGTTCATCATGAGGTTTCAAGTCTCTTTGCAGTCCTCGCCATTTTTTTCTCTGGCCATTATTTTGAATTAGACCATTTCCCAGATCTGAACACGAAATTCTCATGATATGTGTGTTGTGTGTAGTAATGAGTAGTTCCATCAGATGGTATGATTCCTATGATGCTTGCAGTTAAATGAAAGTGTCAACTATTTTTCACATACATTATTATCTTACCTCTTTCTCTGTATTGTACTTTTTTAAAAAAACTATTTCTTTTTACTCAATATTTGAATTTTACTAACTCTGTGAAATCTGTTGTTATAATGTCACCATCCAGGGATACTTTGGGTGTCAAATTTCTCATGCAAAAACTTGTCAATCTTGATCAGCTTATAGCAATTTGGTTTTCCTTTGTATTTGAAAATGATAGAAGCGTTGGTTATGCTTCATCCATTTCACACAATCTGTCAAGTTATACTGTAGGCTTGCGGCTGGTGCCTGTTCTGATTTCTTGATGCCAGACCAGTTCTTAAATATTTTGAATGTCACCCACTCCTGCTTTTAGATCTACATCAAAGGAATTGAACATAGATTGAGAGCTAGATTTAACATAAAACATCAGAAACATGTGCTCTCCTCTGACATGATGGAGAAAATAAACTTATAAATGCTATATTGTCTATAACATCCACATTAAGTAAAGAGTTGGAAAAAAATGATTTTAATTAGTCAATTTATCTATTTTTGAAGAGATTATAGTTACAAAAGTCACATGTTATCCAACCTTCAGGAGTACATGTATTTGATGTTTTTTCTTTAAAGTGCATCTCTTTTCAGCAATGTGTGTTCTTTGGAGTGTTGAGTCTTTTCTGGGTAGTTTGGTGAAAACGTAAAATAATGTTCTCAGCGCAATGCTTCTCCGTCCCTATCTTCTTTCGATCTCTGTCCTTCATGCAGTTTTGAATCCGGCTACATCATTTTACTGCCATACGTCAGTGCTTACTTCTCGTTTGTTTTCATTTCCTGCTGCCTTCAGAGCTCCACACAGTGAAGGTGCTGGATCTACCATCCATAAGACGTGTGCCTTTCCCAGGCCGATTGTTTATTTAAGGAAAAAGATAGAAGAGAGGTCCACTCTATTTGTTTGGAGTTATATAAATATGCTTAAAAAGGAGGATTTCCTCATGTATTCCACTTCAGTCTTCCTGTTCAGGGAGAGTTTTAAATGCACCTCTTATCACTATACGATGACAGCTTGAGTTACAGTTTTATAATTGTACCAAATATATTAGAGACGTTGGAAATCAGGAAGGTAAGATGGAATAATAATTCTGAATTTCTCTCCATATGTATTATAAATGTAGGATTATCACATATATATACACTCAAAACCAGTTTATCATTATAAAGCAGCAGATATAGTGCTATAATAGTAGCCGAATGTGGATGTAAATTATGGAAGAAGAAATTGATAAATAATTGTTATCTATATCAGTCTTATAGTTTTATTTTCCCCTTTATTTCACATTCTTCATAGGGAGTTTGCTCACTAAGTTGTAGTTGAAGTCAAAAAGTTCTTTAAAAAGGATCATAATAGAAGAATATTTTCAATCAGAAACTATTTTACATTCCCTTTGACATTATCTTGTGACTGAAGTTTTAAAATAAACATAGAACTCAGATAACATTATTAATAAATCTTAAAATATTTTACAGGATTGCCAATACAATTCTCAAATATGTAACTAAGATGGGACATACGGTACTACACAGAGGAGACAAACAGCAATGATTAAGATAAAACTAAAAATAACATTTTATAATAAATGTTAATATTTAATGTAATAAATATTTAATATATACTATTCCTATAAATATATTACATACACTTAATTTAATATTTATAATACATATATATTAATACATCTTTTTATAATGTATAATAGATACTATTTACAAGACATATATATTTAATATAATAAAATAACATGATAGTGTTTTGTGATTGATGTGTTTCAGGACCCATGTTATAGGCTTTACATATTATCTCTTTAATGCTTATGCCTCTCTATGAGGTAGGCCCTACTTTATCTTCATTTTGTACATGGGGAACCAGGAGGAAAGAGATTAAGTATTATGTTCACAGCAAGAGAGATAATAAGAGGCCTGGGTGGGACAGAGTCTTAATTCTATTGGACTCTCATATTTGTACCTAATTTTATTATATAAAAAAGCAGACAGTTCAGAGAAGTGTTATCCTGACTTTGCAATTTGTCACAAGACCTTGATTTTTGAATTAGATTTACCTTAAAAATTATAGTTAGCTTAGAGTAATATTAAACTGATTTTGTCATTCAAGAGCAGAGAATTTGCTGAGTGATCAGCACTTACCAGGGCTGGGATTTTTAACTTGCAGGGGCTAACCTACAAAGTAAATGATTGTGTAGATAATGGCAAAGGCTCACATTAAAAACTGGGAGAGGGCTTCCCTGGTGGCGCAGTGGTTGAGAGTCCGCCTGCCGATGCAGGGGACACGGGTTTGTGCCCCGGTCCGGGAAGATCCCACGTGCCGCGGAGCGGCTGGGCCCGTGAGCCATGGCCGCTGAGCCTGCGCGTCCGAAGCCTGTGCTCCGCAACGGGAGAGGCCACAACAGTGAGAGGTCCGCGTACCGCAAAAAAAAAAAAAAAAAAACTGGGAGAGAGGATATTTTGAAAGACTGTTTAGACAGGACTACCTCCATTCCTCTTAAAAAATGAATATTTGACTTTATAAGAAATGACTTAATAACAATAAAAAACTTGTTCTGAGTAGCTCATATTTACTATAATGTCTATTACTATTATTATCAACAAGAAAAAAAATCCAGAAGAAAATAAAAATAATAATCAAGCAAAAGCTGTAAAATATGACCAATGTTAGTACAATAGATATCCATAGATACCATGTTTTCTTCTTTATTGAAAAATCTGTACAGGCAATGATGGCAAAAATCCTTTGATAGGTACTTCCTGGTTGGTCCAGTGGTTGGGACTCTGTGCTTCCACTGCAGGGGGCACAGGTTAGATCCCTGGTCTGGGAACCAGGATCCCACATGCTGTGCAGCATGGTCAAAAAAAAAAAAATTCTTTGATAGTAAACTTGTATTAAAGGATAGATGTGAAACCACTATGCAAAATCCCCAAAAGTTAATTACCAGACTACAGTTACTTTCGAGAAATTAGCATACAAATAACTTTGAGGCACCATTGTGTAGGCAGAGTAAAAATGGAGGCTGAATCATGAGATGTATGTAATTCAGTCCTTACAAAATTACATCTAGTTTCTAAGTCAGTTAATAATATAGTAACTTATTATTATTATACCACTTAGACAATATCTGTGTTACCTGATAGAACTCTAACTTCTTATTTTTTATTACTGAGGAAATAAATGTAATTTTCTATTCAGATTGAACAATTACACAGAACATTGGAATTACTAAGAGAATAAAGACCTGAATCCTTTTATCTCAGTTTTGTCTTTTGAGCCTAACACATTATGAGAGCAGCCTAGATGCGTTGGGATTTTATCCTGTTGAGGTTTGAATTACCTTATGGTTTTTTCATTTTATAGGGTGAATTACACTGTAAAGGTGAATATCAGCTAGCTACTGGTGTGTTTTTTTTCCCAGAACACTTTTAAAGTACATTAAACATTCTAGCATAAAAAGAGTGAACTAAAAATCACCAAACTGACTTACTAACTCAGCATAATTACTTAAAGAAAAGAAGGCAAAAGTAGTAAATAATTTTCATCTAAATCATGATACCTGTAAATATAGATGGCCTTGTTAAAGAGAAAAGAAACGTATTCAAATCACCGTGAAACAGCAGAGAAAGAAAAATGTCATGGATTTAATGTTATGTGAAGGACACACCATGTTTTCTTTAAATAATAATAAGAGGTTATCACAGGTTCTTGAAGTTGACACATGACCTTTAGATTTGTCATGCACGGTACACGATTTTCTTGTTTGGAGTTGCACTGGTTTTGTTCTGCGATGAAGTACATTAATTACTCTGTTATTCTTTTTATTTAGAATTTTGGACATTATTTCCAGAAGTCATAGTTTGAAGTACCTCAAAATCTTTGAACTCAGAAAGGTAAAGGAAGTTGTTTTATGTCAAATATTATGATAAAAGCAAAGTAAAAAGCAAACAAGCACTGAATAAATATTGGAGAGACTTAAGTAGTTTTCTTTGTGTTCATCTCAAGCATGCATCGAACGCTCATTAAACTGTATTAGCTGGTGTAATAAACGTCATAAAAGAATCGTGGCTCTGGAAGCTTCCTCTTGGTTCCTTTAGAGAGAACCACATCTGAAACAAACTGAAGTGAGAGAAAGTATGATTGTGCAAAAGACATGAGGAGGGGATTTTACACACTCCTTCAGCAACCGTTTCTATTTTGCTCAGCTGTGCAACTGTACTGCCCAATCATTCGTCCTTCCGTTTCAGTTGTCTTCCTTTTACTATAAGTTATGATAAGTTATTGCTTTCTGCTCTGTCCCCAGGTTTGGGTTACATTAGTCCACCCCTAATGTGTGCCAGATGTTTGTCTGACCAAGATGGCTGGTTCTTCTCTTTCTCCTCTGGGTGAAGAATTATTTTTTTTCTATCCTCCAAATGTGCTTCTTATTTAATAATTTTTATTGGAGTATAGTTGATTTACAGTCTTGTGTTTGTTTCAGGTGTACAGCAAAGTGAATCAGTTATACATATACATATATCCACTCTTTTTTATCAATAGATTCTTTTCTCATATAGGTCTTTACAAAGTATTGAGTAGAGTTCCCTGTCCTTATTAGTTATCTATTTTACATATAGTAGTGTTAATTATAATTGCTGGAGCCCATCACTGTATTATTTTTTGATCAAACCTTTCATCACCATGAAGATTTTTTTTTATCGGGGTATAGTTGCTTTACAATGTTGTGTTAGTTTCTGCTTCTCCTCAGCTTCAGAAACTAGGGCTAGTTATCACTGACATGAATGACCACCTTGACTTCCTAGTTATGGTTTTCTTGACAAGATTTCTCTTCTTGTGATACCTTTGAGCTCTTTCCACCTACTGGCCTCATAACGTCTCCCTTTGCATTTTCTAAGACATCAGGACAAAAAAGTAACTGTAGATGAATTGAAATAGTGTGGAATAAAGCTGAGTGCTTTTAAAGAGAAGGTTCATACACTACTGAGCTTTTCTACTGTCGGAATGGAAACACAGTCTACTCTTTATTTACAAAATATGAGACCTGAATCAGAGGACTTTCATTACCTCAGAAAACAGCTACTCAACAAAATATTTCCAACTGACTGCTATTAACAATTAGAGTATCAGTAATATCAGAGTGATGTGATCATTGCTATATAGGTCAGCTCAGAACCTGCTTCACACAAAAGTCTACTCTCAGATCTAACCTATTTTGTTCCAAGGCTGATTTAGAAATTTTGTTTAGATTTTCTGGTTGATCTTTTTTTTTTGCGGTACGCGGGCCTCTCACTGTTGTGGCCTCTCCCGCTGCGGAGCACAGGCTCCGGACGCGCCGGCTCAGCGGCCATGGCTCACGGGCCTAGCAGCTCCGCGGCATGTGGGATCTTCCCGGACCGGGGCACGAACCCGCGTCCCCTGCATCGACAGGCGGACTCTCAACCACTGCACCACCAGGGAAGCCCCCTGGTTGATCTTTGAGTGATGCTTGCTGCTGTAACCTATACCCATGGGTTTAGGTAACCATGGGAATTCCTCATTGACTGGTTCCCCTCCATCTGTAAATTCAATGATTCACACCTTAAGTAAGTGGTATGTTCTGCAATTAGCCTACAGAGCAAAAGTCACACACGCAGAAAATTACTGAGAATATTTTAAAGAGCCCATGAAGCACACTGAACATGGTTTTGTGCATAAAAATAACAAGTACATTACTATTTGCATACATACTAAAATATGGAAACTATAATACTAAGCTTGACTAAAAAAGAAATCTAAAGCAAGATCTACAACGCATATATCTGTCTATTCAAACCAGTCTTGGTTTAAGACAGGCACAAAATTCTTAGCAGTGAATTGGAGATGAACAGAAGACTAAAAAGTGTCCTGTTTCCTAGTACATTTTACTACATTTCTGTTTCCACAGTAAGCTTTATTCATGCCAACAGTGTTATGAAGATGACAAGAGACATAGTGAAGTCACATCTATGCATGTGGATGAGATGATGACCAGGTTCTAAAGTCAGGGAGTAGGTTAATGGGATAACATTACAACTTCACTGTCGTGCTCCTTCTTCTAAACTGTCACATCTTTTAACCTCTAACTCCTCTATGGATTACCATATTCTCTCTTGCGGTTATTAGTGTTTTGTTTTTTTTTTAAACATCTTTATTGGGGTATAATTGCTTTACAATTGTGTGTTAGTTTCTGCTTTATAACAAAGTGAATCAGTTATACATATACATATGTTCCCATATGTCTTCCCTCTTGCGTCTCCCTCCCTCCCACCCTCCCTATCCCACCCCTCCAGGCTGTCACAAAGCACCGAGCTAATATCCCTGTGCCTTGCGGCTGCTTCCCCCTAGCTATCTACCTTACTACGTTTGTTAGTGTGTATATGTCCATGACTCTGTCTCGCCCTGTCAAAGCTCACCCTTCCCCCTCCCCATATCCTCAAGTCCGTTCTCCAGTAGGTCTGCGTCTTTATTCCTGTCTTACCCCTAGGTTCTTCATGACATTTTTTTTCCCCTTAAATTCCATATATATGCGTTAGCATACGGTATTTTAGTGTTTTTTTTTTTAATTTTTATTAATTTTATTTTTGGCTGCATTGGGTGTTCGTTACTGCGCATGGGCTTTCTCTAGTTGCGGCGAGCAGGGCTACTCTTCGTTGCGGTGTGCCGGCTTCTCATTGTGGTGGCTTCTCTTGTTGTGGAGCACGGGCTCTAGGCACACGGGCTCAGTCGTTAATGGCTCACGGGCTCTAGAGCGCAGGCTCGGTAGTTGTGGTGCACGGGCTTAGTTGCTCTGCGGCATGTGGGATCTTCCCGCAAGAGGGCTCAAACCAATGCCCCCTGCACTGGCAGGTGGATTCTTAACCACTGCGCCACCAGGGAAGCTCCAGTTACTTTTGTATTTGTATTAGCTGTCCTGTAGTGTCCAGGTCTTATATATATCCTTTTGATTCAATACAAAAAATAGGTGCTTGAATAGCTACATTAAATTCTCACCTCCAAGTTTCTAATTTATTCTTCTGTATTCCAGTGCAGGTCCATTCACGTAGACCATGGGTCTTTTTCTTCCTTTCACCACTTCTATTTTTTATCCTATCCATCATGCAGCCTCCACTTTCCTTCCTCCATTCGTCCTTCTCTTTCTCTGTCTCACCACCTTTCTTGTTTCCTTCCTCTTACACTTTCCTTATAGTCAACTCCACTCCAATTCACAGGTTTCATGTCTTTTAAAATAAAAAGGTGTTTTTATAAAAAATTGAACTGCTCATAAAAGTTTTAGCAATTCAGAAAAGCAAGTAAAAGAAAACAATAATAAACTCAACACCCATTGTTACCATTTGTGAACATCATTCCAGAGACCTTTACAGCCTATCTGTAGATGGATGGCTGAATGGACACAGTAACAGAAGCCGCCACTGCCAACACTTGCTGGTGCTGTTAAAAATGCTTTCAGTCTATGCTTATTTGATTCTACCCTTGAGGTCATAATTATTCCTATCTCCATTTTATAGGTGAGGAAATGAAGACTCCTGGAAGCTAAACAACTTACCCAAGATTACATAACCAGTACAAGTTGAGTGAACACACAATTGTCCTTGACGGTGGTGAGGGAGGGTAGGGAAAATTGATTGACATTATTGGGTCTTTTATAAATTCATAGACAATCATTTTAGAGCAGTTTTAGTTTTACAGTCAAGTTGAGCAGAAGGTGAGGAGAGTTCCTGTATGCCCTTCCCACCCCGTCTCCCCCATTATCAACATCTCCCACAAGATGGTACGTTTGTTATAATCCATGAACCCACATTGACACAACATTATCACCCCAAGTCCATAGTTTACATTAGGGTTCACTCTTCCTGTTGTACTTTCTATGGATTTTGACAAATGTCTAATGACATGTATCCACCATTATAGTATCATACAGAATACTTTCTCTGCCCTAAAAATCCCCTGTGTTCCACCCGTTCAACCACAAACCTCTGGCAACCAGTGATCTTTCTACTGCCTCCATAGTTTGGCATTTTCCCGAATGTCATATAATTAGAATCATACAGCACATAGCCTTTTCTGAATGGCTAATTTCACTTAGTAATATGCATTTAAGTTTCCTCCGTGTCTCGTTGAATGTTGAATGACCACACTTTTGAAAGGAGCCATTAATAGCAATATTTTTATTTCACTCTGAGAAGAGATGTAAATGTACTTTTTGAATAGAAATTTTGTTCATTATTTGAATATCTCCTGCTTCAACAGTAGAGTGTGGTCAGGAGGATATGCAAACTCTGACAGGTCAGTTTTTATGGAAGTTAAATAATATAAAATGTAATGAAAACGAGATCATTAATTCTGACCAAGGTTCATTGGAGAACATGAACTATTAAGTATGTAGCTAGTTTTTACTATTAATCAACTCTTGTTTGTTGCAGGTAAGAACTAACTGTATGCTTACTGAATTGGATTGAATGAACTCTAACCGTATGTTGCCAAAGAGAAGAGAAAGGTTTAACTGATATTTTTTCTAAATTTCATCCAATTATACTTGCATGGATTTAAAAAATACTTTTATTCTAATTTAATTAAAATGCAACATAGAGAATTAGGACAGTTGTCGGAAGCTCATGGTTAAATAAATAAAACTGTGGTGAAATCAGTCACAATAGGAAATAATGTTTCTGTTTTTCTATGCTTTAACTCTTACGTCTCATGTTTCTTTAATAGTAATATTCAGACTCTTAGATTTTAAAGCAACTTAATATGCCATCAAACTTGAGGAAATAATCAACTACTGTTTGACTGAATGTTCTTCTCATCTCGTTGTTTTGATGCAGATTTCAGCTCTGATACTTACCTATGAAGAACTGCTTGCTGTTCAATCTAAATCAGTTGGACTGTTCTTCATCTTTGCTCCAATCTTATCGAGGGATTTAATCAGCTAGGAACTTGGTACAAGTCACCACTAGAAAACGGAGTACATGATTATTGTCATTGGTGAGAGATTATTTCTGAATACATGTAAACAAAGAATAGCCTTCCACTTTATTTTTACAATTGCTTTAAAAATAATTTCAAAAGTATTTACTAGAGGTTGTGTTTGTTGTAAAAATTAGTTTTGAACTTCAGCTACCTGAGTTTAGTCACCTCCCAGTCTTCGCTTTAGGGCAAAATTCAATTGGAATTTAAGTCAAATATGTCAGACACATATAGCAATTGTGTGAGATCAAGCAAATCCATTAAGTGTAACTTTTTAACAGTAATCACTCTAATAACAATTGTTCAAAAGACGTCATTCTATACAGAACTTGATTTATTTTAGAGAAGATGAAGTAGAAAGATTAAACGAGCTAAAATAAACTCAACTTCTCTATGGTATTTTCTTTTATAAAATATTTATATATCAAGAATAAACACTAGAGAAAACTGCTGAAATCAGATAACAGTGTTCTATGAATCTCGTGATTCTAAAGGGATGCAATTAACTGATAAAGGGGATGTGTTTACACATCTTCAAGACTATCACCACCCTTTTTAAAACAGACCTGATTCTTCTTTGGCAATTATGTTCTATGAGAAAAGAATACAATTCTATTTTTGCTTTATAATTTTAACCCTGGAACACAAAGCCCCGGATAAATGACTAAGTTTGCTTGAATTCTAATTAAACATTAAAGTTAAAAATTCAAACTCAAAAGAGTCAGTGTATCAACTGTTGAAATATAATTAAAAACAAAATCTTTAACCCAGAAAACCTCTTGACAAAGGTAGTGGAAAATAAATCAGTTCTATTAGTGAAGAAATCTTAAACCAGAATGTGATACACATCACAGGCAATTGGCTTAGGAGATTGCCAAGGCGGAAAGAAACCTCACCTCTCTATAACGCCAAGCAGATATAACCCATTATATGTATGTTCTCACGATAAACATCACTAGTCCTCAAGGAAGAGGACTTGATAGCACCTTTTGTCACACCTGATTCACCCTAACTTTATCATGATAATTGGGGAGAACCCCTGTGTTGACCTTACCCAGAGGAGAAACAAACTTCTACTAAGTCCAGGAGGCTGCAGGGAAACTAGACTCTTGCCCACAGGACTGAGCAGATAGGGCTGCTATCTCCCTAAATGTTTGCATCTCAAAAAGATGGCTCACAGAACGTTGAGGAAACACTCCCTAGTTGTGAGGCTGGCAGAGACTTATTTAGTCATTATAAAGATTTACGAACTTTTGAAAAGGACAGAGGAAAAACTTCTGGAGCCAAAGGGAGAGGGAGGGAGAATTAATCTTCTTATTTTTAATTCGTATTTGCCTTGATACCACCCACAGAAATAGAGAAATAGTATTATTTCATTATAATTCCCTTCCCCCTTTTTCCATCATCTGGAGAGCTTTCCTTAGGTGCTAATTATTTTTTTAAACAGCTTTATTGAGATATAATTGACATACAATACACTGCAATATTTAAAATGTAAAATTTGATATTTTGACATATGTACACACCTGTGAAACTGTGACCACAAAGGGGAGGAAAAAGTTTTCCTCTACCCTTCTGGGTTCTTTTGGTTGTTCGAATAATTAAAGACAACATGTCTTGGCATAAGACAGATTAACAGGAGAAAAACAAATTTAATTATGTACGTACGGGAGCCCCATGAGGATAGGAGACCCACGGGTAGTCAGGCATTTGAGGCTTATACACCATCCTGAGTTAAGCAGAGGGGGTAAGGGTCTGGGACTTCAAAGAGGGAAGAAGACAATTTACCGGAAGATGGGAGGAGCAAATGTTTGGTAAACAAATGTTGGTCATGCCATCTGGAGACAAGGGGAACAGAGAGGAATCTGAACAAACAGGCTGTCCTGAGCTCCCCCCAGGCCACCACACCTGCTCACATTCTTTGTAGTTATCCCTGGTGATCACCCTCTTCCTAGACTAGACCCTCTATCCAAATTCTTTTAGGCAGTTAAGGAGGAGGTTAAAAGCTTCTCGTGAGTCTTTAAGCCTTGATTATCTTCAGCTCAAGATAATCCACGTGCCAAAGTGACACATTTTGGAGAGGTTCCTTCTGATCCCCTTCAACCACAATCCAGACAGTGAACCTATTCATCATCCACGAATGTTTTCTCCCCCTGCTTTGTAATTCCTTCTCTCCACCACTCCTGCTCCCCCCTCTGCAGGCACACACTGTTCTACTTTCCGTCACTATAAATTAGTTTCATTTTCTAGAGTGCTATATAAATGGAATTATTCAGTAGGTACGTTTTTAGGTCTGGCTTTTCACTCAGGGTAGTTGTCTCGAGACTCATGCATGTTGTCACAGGTTACAATAGGTCTTCCCTTTCATTGCCGAGTAGCATTCTTTTTAGTATATACTACAGTTTGCAAATGCACTCACCTATTAATGGACATTTGACTGGTTTCCAGTTTGGGGCTATTACAGATAAAGCTGCAATGAACAGTATGTGACCAGTTTTGGATAGACATAGATGATCTCTTCTCCTGGGTAAATACCTAGGAGTGAAGTGACTGAATTGTGACTGAAGGGTGAAGAGTAGCAGAATGAATATGCCGCCCTAAAAGGATTAGGATTATTTTGAGCTGATTGTTTTGAGAAAGAGCAGACAGAAGAGAAGCTCTGAAAACAGAGTAGAAGTTACTTTTTCGTGAGAGAAATTTACGTTTATAAAGGAACTTTCCAAGAGAGTTTTATCACTGGAGAAGGCACTGACAAATCTACATAACAAACTTTCTTGTTTATCATGCTTCTCCAGGTACCTCCCCATAACTGCCCCTGCCCCGCAACACACTCCTTTTTCTTTTGTTTTTAGCTAAAGATGATATTCAAGCTGGAGTTCTAAGCCACCTTGGGGAGTTACTCATTTTTCCTTAGTATCTCCCATGTATTCCTGAGGTGTACATGTTAGTAAACTTCTATTTGTTTTCCTCTTAATTTGTCTTTTAATACAGAAGTCTCAGCTAAGAACTCAGAAGGGTAGAGGAAAATTATTTCTCTTTTCCTATTGTAGGCATAGGTTAACTTTTTAATAAACTGCTAAACTTTTTTTGGAGTGGCTTTACTTTAAATACGCATTAGCAATGTATGGCACCCTTTCCAACACTTAGTATGGTATGTTTAGTTTTTTTTTTTTTTTTCTTAATTTTAGCCAATCTAATAGGTTTGTGGTGGCATCTCATTGTGGTTTTAATTTGGATTTCCCTAATTATAATGATATTGAACGTGTTATACTATACTTACTTGCCATTGAAGTGCATTAGAATATGCCACCCCAAACTCTGCCACTTTGGCATAAGGATTATTTTGAGCTGAAGGTAATTGAGAAGTAGCAGACACAGGAAGAACTCTCTGCCCTCTCTTGTTCTGCCTAAAAAGCAGGACATAAATTTCCCTTTGTAAAAGTGACATAAATTTCCATATGTGAAGGCGTTCCTCTGTCCTGTACCAGGAAGCAGAGAACAACCCTTATCTCATAACACACCTTACTAAACAATCCTTATCTACCAGAGTTTCCTAGTCAGCTTTTCCAACCCCAGGAGCCCAAACCTTCTTTTATC